GTGACAAAAAATTTAAAAATTGGACTTACGAACCCTACAGAATAAATTATGAATATCTATAATGAACAGCAAACTAAGAAAAAACGAAATTACACTTCAGTGTATATATATATAAATCAATATTAAATTTTAAAATGTTAAAACGAAAAGTGATAAGCTTTTGAAGAAATTTGCAATTAATTTTTAAAAAAAATCGTAGGCATATAATTTTTCCAATTAAAGACAACCGGAAATATTTGTTTGGGCAAATTACATATATCTCTCTCGAGATTTAGTTAAATTATAGATACCTCTTGAGATTTTGAAACTTACAGATACCTCCCTGAGGCTTATATTTTTATAACAATTTACCTCCTAATTTGTTATATAAATAGTACCTTCAGGGAGGTATTTGTAATTTTTCAAATCTCAGGGGATGTCTGTAATTTTGCTAAATCTCGAGGGGTATATGTAATTTGCCTTATTTGGTTTTTATGGCTCGTGATGATTACTTGAAAAGCACACTCAAATTGGTATTTATAGGATTGAATTATTAATCTCTCTTAACTTAACTGATATTTATAGGATTGAATTATCTTGTAATATTAATCTTTCTTAAATGATATTTATAGGATTTAATTATCTCAAATTGGTCATTTAACTTGAAAGAATATTTAGATTTAGTATATCAATTTTGAGGTAATCTCGATAATTTGAACTATTCATTTTTTAGAATTTATTGTATAGAATATTCATGAAAAATAGGATGATTGAATATCAATCACTAAAGATGTTTGAATCACATTTATATTATAAATAATGAATGATTATTCTTAAAATTACAGTTATCGTTTATTTTTTAAAAACAAATATGATTTAAACATCTAGTGACCGATATTCAATCCTATTAATTTTTTACAAAAATGTTTTACTTAACAAATATTAAAAAGTAAATAATTTAAATTTTCGAAATCAGCCGATCAAACCCAAATAATCAATTTGAGAGATTCAAAATATGATAAGACTAAGTTATTTTAGGGCTTGGCCCAAACTTTTTTTTGCACGTGCTTCAAGGAGGATTCTTCTGATTTAGTTAGGGTTGGTTAAGAAATAAAAAATAAAAAATAATTATTATTTTAACTTTTGGGCAGGTTATATACATACGTATGACTGTTTCAATTTAATTTGTAAAAAATTATTTCTAACCACTCGAAAGATAAAAATTATATAAAAATGATAATTATTTTTTATTTTTTATTTCTTAACCAGATTAATTTTTAATTTTTTTAAAAATTTTCTAAAAATCAAATCATACATAGCCTAAGAATCTTTTGATAAGTCATTTCTTACGTTGGTAACTTATTTAATTATTTGTTAATTCTACGACATTTTTACCATCTGAAACCTGTTTGGTAACCATTTCGTTTTCAGTTTTCAATTTATATTTACAAAAATTTTAAAAACTGTCATAAAAACTTGTTTGATAATTTTTTTGGTTTATATGGTTGTCTCAGTTTGTAAATTTGAGAAAAAACGTAAATTCAAAAAATGAGTTTATGTTGGTTTTTAAAGAGAAATTTAAAAATTTTACTAACAATTTTTTTTTTTCAAATAATTTTTTTTCCAATTAATTTTTTTTTCAATAAATTATTTTTCTAACTAATACTAACCGAGGGGATAATTGATAATGCTATTTTAAACCTTAGGGAGTGGGTTGCAATTTCTAAATGTGAGAGGTGTAAATGTAATTTACCCAATGAGGGCAAAATTGGTATTTAAAAAAATTAAATTGCTGAGGGGGGAATCTGTAATGAAACTTTAAACTTCAGAGGAGAGATGTAATTTTCAAAAGGTGAGGGGAGAATTGTAATAAACATAAACCTCAAGGGTGTCAGTGTAATTTACCCTTGTATTATGTTTTATTCACATTTATTTTTTAAAAAGTAATGACAATTATAATTTTAATAGCAATTATCGATTTTTTTATAATATAATATAATTTAAATATATAATTATTAACATCAAATTATTTTAATTTTTATATAAATATTTTAATGAACTATTACTAAAAATTAAATAATTTAAATTACCAGATCCAAAATGAAGTCCATGACGCTATCAAATTGAGATGATCAACGTCAGAACTTCTTCTCCCTATTAGTCCTCAATTGGTGCCTCAAAATCCACAAAGATTAAAAGGAAATCTTGAGTAGGGATGGCAATTGGAACCCAGCCCGACGGGGACCCGATCCCCTAATCCTGAATTGAGCGGTTATTTCTCGAAAAATACCCCTGATGGGCTGGGGATGGTATTAAAAACTGAATCCCCGATGATATTCGGGCCGGGGATGGGGTTACATGTTTCAGCCCCGGACCCGGCCCGACCCCGTCCCTGATCCCCGCCCTGGTTGCCCCGATGTAAAATTACTATTTTGCTCCTTTTATATATAATATATGTGTGAGTGTGTGTAAGGTTTGGGCTATTGGTAGACGAACACCCACACACAAACATCTTCTCCCTCTCTCTCTCACACACACGACCTTCGTTCCTCACCGCCTCTCCTTCACCGTTTTGGTCGGCAACGGCTCCTCTCTCACCGCCGCTCCTCCTCTCTCCTTCACTAGCGGCTTCTTCTTCTCTCCCTCTCACGCTATCGTCTCTCTCTCATGGTATCTCCTCTTCTTTCTCTCTCTCCCTGGTTTGGTCGGCGATGGCTCCTCCCTCACCGTCGTTTCTCACGGTATCTCCTTGTCTCTCTCTCTCTCACGGTATCTCCTTGTCTCTCTCTCTCTCTCACTCACGGTATCTCCTCTCTCTCTCTCTCTCACTCTCTGTTTTTTTGATTTTGTTCTCTGTTTTTTGATTTTGTTTCATATTTGAAAATGATGAAGATGAAGATAAAGGTGAACATGTTGATTTGTGTTGATGAAGGTTTTTGATTTTTTGATCTGTTTGTTGATGAACATGTTGATCAAGGTTTTTGATTTTTTGATTTTTTGATCTGTGTTAGATCTGATTGTTGATCTGTTGTTGAAAATCTCTCTCTCTCTCTGTTTGTTGATGAACATGTTGATCAAAGTTTTTAATTTTTTGGTCGGGGAATTTCGGGGTCGGGGAAACCCGATCCCCGTTAGGGGACGGGGACGGGGGCGGTTATGGGTTCCCCGTCGGGGATCGGGGTCGGGGTCAGGGTCAAATAAATAAATCTAATCAACTTAAAAGAGATGGTGTCTAAGGCCTAGAACACCAAACTCATGAGAAGTATTACACTATCAGCATGCAAAACAACGCTCAAATACACCCCCCCCACAAAAAAAAAAGTGCTAAAAATTAATAAGGAGAAATCAAATTAACGATTTTTATAGTTTAAAATTTATATTATTTTAATTTTTGACCTTTTAATTGTGATATATATGATATTAAATTTTGAATCTCATTCTAAATGAAGACAATTAAAGATATTGTTATGTATTTTAAAGATAAAATCATCAATTTGATAAAATATGAATTAATTTAACAAAAATAAAAGTCAAAAAAATTATTTTTAAATTTTTTAAAATTATTTCTACGTACCAAAAATAAAATTATATAAAAATGATAAATATTTTCATAATTTTTTTATTTTTTTACCAAATTAATTTTTAGTAGTATGTATTTGGATGATGATGGTGACTTTTGCTGTTAATATTTTTGGATAGTTATCGTGTAATAAATGGTTGTATTTGTTGTTAACAAATATTTTTGGATGATTATTAGATAATGGATGGTTATTAGGTTTTTAATGTATAATCGATATGTTTAAGATATTAAATTTTTTAATTTTAATTTTTTTGATTTAATGGATTGGTTGAATAACAATATCAAAATTATTGCCATGTTTGAGTTTTGAAAAAATATAAATTAATTTAACAAAAATAAAAAAAATTATTTTTACCCTCCAAAAGATAAAATTATATAAAAAATAATGTGTTTTAAATTTTTTTCACTAATTTAAATTTTAATTTCCTAGATTTGTTTTTTTAAAAAATAGATTATGCAAATTAAAGTAAATAAAACTTTATAACAAATTTTTTTCAACATTATTAATTAAAAAAAATCATTGCATTTTAAATAACATACACGTTAACCAATAAAAAATAAGTTATATGACGATTTTACCCTGAAAATAGACCGTTCGCAAAGAAAATATTTTTAATTGTCCTTATTTAAAATAAAATTCAAAATTTAAGATAAAATGTATTATAATTAAAAAATTAAAGATTAAAAATAGGGAAAATTAGTCTAGGGTCCCTCCCCTACTTTTCGTAATGGAAGAGATTCACAAAATTATTTTTTGATGTCTATGGTCCCTAAACATATATCAGAGAAATTTGACTCTTTGCCCACGATTTCTCTCTCTCTCTCTGTCTCTCTATCTCTCCCCTACAACCAAATGAACAAAAGCTTCAAGATCTTCGTCTACCCTACCCCCAAATCCCGCCCCTACGCCAACGTCCTCCTCCAGTCTCCAGCGATCCAGGCAGCAACTACGCCAGCGAATCCTTCTTCAAAAAGTCCCTCGGCAAGTCCCATTTCCTCACCACCAATCCCTCCGACGCCGGATATTGGTCATTCAATCAGAACTCACCGAGACCTGAATAGTGGACACGCAACTAACTATAAAAAGTCGAGCCAGTTCTATAAACAATTATCACAGAGGTTAATGAATTCATCTATTGTTCTTGATTTGTATGCTTGTTCTCTTGATCAAGTCTAAGCAGCTGAGCTAAGTGCCGCTATCGAGAGCTCAGGTGGATTCATGATGTTAGGGGAATCATTTGAATCAGAGCAATTCAAAAAAACAACTACGCCAGCGAATCCTTCTTCAAAAAGTCCCTCGGCAAGTCCCATTTCCTCACCACCAATCCCTCCGACGCCGGATATTGGTCATTCAATCAGAACTCACCGAGACCTGAATAGTGGACACGCAGCTAACTATAAAAAGTCGAGCCAGTTCTATAAACAATTATCACAGAGGTTAATGAATTCATCTATTGTTCTTGATTTGTTTGCTTGTTCTCTTGATCAAGTCGGAGCAGCTGAGCTAAATGCCGCTATCGAGAGCTCAGGTGGATTCATGATGTTAGGGGAATCATTTGAATCAGAGCAATTCAAAAAAATCTTGCGCCGCTTATTTAATTGTGATGAAGAAGGGAACTTGAAGAGATGTTTTGATGTGACTATTGAGATAGTGACGACAAAAGATGTGAAAATCTGTGGAGCCCTTGGTTCCTGTGTTTCACTTCGGAAAAAGAACAGTTCGGTGAGTGAGAAAGAGATCGGTGAGGGTGGAACCAATATTTGGAAGTTAGGTACACTCACCAACAGAACATGCATTGCTTTCTTCTTCCAAGTAAGCGATGAACAGAAAGTACAACCCAGCTTTGCATTCTTCATACAGTTCATTACACGTTACCGACACGGAAATATGGGGATTCGGAAAAGGGTGATGACAGCTGCGAGGAGATGGGTCGGGAACAACTCACCGAAAATCACCACTAGGTTCGATCAAGAAGTAGCGGCTTCAGTCGCGGCTAGACTTGCCATCCACAAAGCAGAGAGAAATCTTGCTCACGATGTCATCAGATGGCTTGATAAGATGCTGATAAGTTTTGCTTCTAAGTTTGGAGATTATGTGCCGGAAAATCCATCTACATTTCGTTTATCATCCAATTTCTCGCTATACCCACAATTTATGTGTTACTTACAGACATCACAGTTCATTGATGTCTTTAATAGCTGTCCTGACAAGACAACTTTTTTCCGATTGATGTTAAACCGTAAAGGGGTGGTTGGTTCTCTCATCATGATTTTTTCTGTATTTGAATGAATTTCTCTGGGGTGGAGAGGGAATTTCTCTGGTTTTGAAGAATTTCTCTGCGTTGAAATGTCCAGAGAAATTTCAAAGACCAAAAATAGAATTAAAAAGGAACTTGATAAATATGCAGAGAGTTAGTTAATTGTAGATTTGACTGAGTTGGGTTTTTGGGATTGATAAATGCTTCTGATCAGGACTGACTATATAAGTCAGTTCCCATTAGGTAAAATGATTTCCTTCATTTTTGTATTACAGCAAGGAAATTTGTGGTTTCTGGAAATCATGTTTTTTGAATCTTTGGTATGTGTAAAGGTGTAATGATGTCAACTTGAGAATTGAATTCATTTTATAACCCACAGATTTTTTCTCTCAGTGCTCTTGTTGGAGTGGTGAGTGGTGTGGATATATCTCCAGAGAAATTCTCATTGGTGGTTTGTTAAGGAGGTCTTGTTGCTGCTAATGATGATTGCTTGGGTGGATTTCATTTGTTTTTCACTATGAAGAACTGGAACATGATGGATTTTCTTTTCTGCAGGGAGCAACTATCACTCTGTTTGTTGAATCAAAGGAGATGTAACACCTGCTAAATATGGTTGTTGTGGTTGCTATGCTTGGTGGAGATGGAGCAGTGGGTCATATACTAGAAGGATCAAAGGCAGAGATGGCACATGGGACTGAGGAATTAGGCAAGACATTCACTCTTTGGCATTTGGTTTGGAGAAGACATTTTTTTTTTGATGGATTTGGGTTGTTGCGTACTGTCACTTTCTTTGCTACATCGACATGCCTGGGCTGAATTTTTCTAGATCACCATTTCTCTGGAGAGAAATTCTGAAGTGCAGAGAAAATTGGTCAAAACACAAAGAATCCAGAGAAATTCAAATTTCTCTGGAGAGAAATTCCGAAGTCCAGAGAAATTTTGAATCTAGAGAGAAATTTCTCTGGTGGGTGGAACGTAGTGAACCTCGTAGCTTTGATTTTTCTCAAGGGGTGGTGGGTCAGCAAAGCATAAATGATCCATTTTTACTTATCATTTGTCATCATATTTGGTCTGGGAATCACCTTCGAATGATGGACTTTCATAACGTTCTTGGCCTTCTTCACCTTCCTTCTAGTAGGTTGGTTTCTTCTTGGTACTTACTTCTTCAGGAATTTGATCTAGTTGTAACCTTATGGTGTGTACCAACTTTAGTTTAACAATTGCTTGTGGATTTCATGTATGATGTACCTAAAATCACTAGAAAATACTCTGATTTGCATAATTTTAGGAATTGGATGAGACATTTTCAAAACATGGAAAATCAAAAAAATTGAACAAAACTAAATTTCTCTGGTTTGAAATTTCTCTGGATGGAAATTTCTCTGGGTTGAAATTTCTCTGGACAGAATTTCTCTGGAGCAGAATTTCTCTAGATCAAATTGAGGGATCTTAGACATTATGAAAATATTAGATGTCTTTGATATTATAAAGTCTTAATACTAGAGACCCTAAAAAAAAAACCCCTTAAAAATAACATAAATTTTAAATTATCTAATTAGGGTAAATTACACTAACCTCCTGAGGTTTATGTTTATTACAGTTTCCTCCATCGCCTTTTGGAAATTACTTTTCCCCCCCCTAAGGTTTAAAGTTTAATTACAGATTTTTTCCTTGAGCAATTTAATTTTTTTAAATACCAATTTTGCCCTCATTGGGTAAATTACATTGACACCTCTCACATTTTAGAAATTACAATCCCCTCCTTAAGGTTTAAAATAGCATTACCAATTACCTCCTCAATTAGTATTAGTTGGAAAAAAAATTAATTGGGAAAAAAATTATTTGAAAAAAAAATAAATTAAAAAAAAAAATTTGTTAGTCAAAATTTTAAATTTCTCTTTAAAAACTAACATAAACTCATTTTTTGAATTTACGTTTTTTCCTCAAATTTACAAACTGAGACAACCATTTATAAAACAACAAAAATTATCAAACAAGTTTTTATGACTGTTTTTAAAATTTTTGTAAATATAAATTGGAAACTGAAAACGAAATGGTTATCAAACAGGCTTCAGACGGTAAAAATATCGTAAAATTAATAAATAATTAAATAAGTTACCAGCGTAAGAAATGACTTATCAAAAAATTCTTAGGTTATGTATGATTAGATTTTTAAAATTTCTTTTTAAAAATTAAAAATTAATCTGGTTAAGAAATAAAAAAATAAAAAATAATTATCATTTTTATCTTTCGAGTGGTTAGAAATAATTTTTTACAAATTAAATTGAAACAACTATACGTATGTATATAACCAGCTCAAAAGTTAAAATGATAATTATTTTTTATCCTTAAATGATAATTATTTTTTATTTTTTATTTCTTAACCAAATTGTTAGACTTATTTATTTTAATGATTTGTTTAATTATGTTTTAATTTATTTTGAAGAGAAAAATAGAATTACAATTTATTTCGATAATTTATTTAATTATGTTTTAATTTATTTGGAAGAGAAAAACAGAATCAAAATTTATTTTGATGATTTATTTGAAAGAGAAAAATAGAATTGAAATTTATTTGAAAGAGAAAAATGGAATCCACATTTATTTTGATAATTTATTTAATTATGTTTTAATTTATTTGAAAGAGAAAAATAGAATTAAAATTTATTTTGTCCCATTATTTCTCACCTAAACCTTTATCCTAAATGTGGTTAGAATGTTTTTAATATTTGATTAAATCAGGAGTTCAAACAGTCCAAAAACAGAGGTTTAAACAGCCTAGCACAGCAGCACTTCAAAAGGTTGAAAAGGTTCAAGTGAGAGATATTCAAATTAGTAATGATAGAGTGGAAGATATTCAAATGACTACAACGACTATAAGTTTCATTATATATACCAAAACCTCTGATGTGAACAAGAGATAGCAACTACAAACAAGTTACAGAAATCAGAAAATATTCTTTGATCTAAAATCACTCTCATCTATTCTCTGAAATTTTTTTTGAGAAGTGTTCATCAATTTTTGTTTACATCCTCTCTAAAAAATTATACATTAAGTCGTATAGCTTTAAGCACATCTTTCATGTGTGAGGATTATAGAAAAATCGAAGTCACATTTTTATATCTATCTTTGAGAGATAATTTTTGTAGCTTTCTGTGAAAGAAAAAACACATTCTTTTCAATCCTGTAATAGTGTAGTATTCTCAGTGTTTTTTGGACTTAGAAAGTCTGTGTAAAATCTGTAGAGGATTGCTCAATCTGTAAAAAAGTTGCTAGCACCCTGTGATGCTAGAGAATAGTGGAAAATCTCAAATGAAACTTGAAGAGTGAACGTAGGCCGAGTTGAAACCGAACCACTATAAATTTGTTTGTCTCTCTCTCCCTTATCTCTTTATTTTATTTAAATCGCCATAACTATATTTCATATTTTTATTGTACTAAAATCATTAATTGACATCGTTTTTAGAACACTTGTTTTAATTATTTTTATTTCATTAACTATATTTATCTATTGTGCTAGTCATACTTTTATTAGGGTATTATTATTTTTATTTGTAAAAACCTAATTCACCCCCCCTCTTAGGTTGTCTTTTAGGTAACAATTGGTATCAGAGCCTAGACTCTTGTTTTAGATTTAACCATCTGAGAGTTTCGATCCATGGCAACCTTAGCTGAAGGATAAGCCACAAATAGGCCACCATTGTTTAACGGAAACAACTATAGTCATTGGAATGATAAGATAACCCTATACTTACAAGCCACTGATTATGCTATGTGGATTATTGTCACCAAAGGTCCAAAAATTCTCACAAAATTAGTAGACAATATTACTGTACCTAAAACTAAAGATGACTGTGATGAGAGGGATCATAAATTATTGCAAGCCAATGCTAAAGCCAAACTCACCCTTGTTTGTGGATTAAACTTTAAGGAGTATAATAGAATTTCAAGTTGTGATTCGACGAAAGAAATTTGGGACAAACTTGAGGTAACGTATGAAGGTACAAATCAAGTGAAGGAATCTCGTATTGATATGTTTGTTCATAGTTATGAATTATTTAAAATAAACTCTGATGAATTTGTTTCAAGTATGTTTACTAGATTTTTTGAAATTGTAAACTTTTTGAAATCTCTTGGCAAAATTTATACTATCAGTGAGTTGGTGAAAAAAATTCTTAGGTATTTACCAAAGAATTGGGAAGCAAAGGTCACGACCATTATAGAAGCCAAAAATCTCTCCACACTTGAATTGGATGAGCTTATGGGTTCCCTTATGGCTCATGAGATCACCATGAAAGGACATGAGAAGGTGGAAAACAAAAAGAAAAGTGGAATTGCATTTAAAGCCTCATCAAATAAAGAAGAACATGAAAACTCCAGTGAATATGAAAGCTATGCCATGTTTAGTAGAAATCTCAAAAAACACTTCAAGAAAAACAATTATGGAGGAAGAAGGCTTTTCAAGAAAGAGTACAACAAAGATAATAAGAAAGAGCCTATTATTTGCTATGAGTGCAAAAATCCTGAACATATGAAGATAGATTCTCCAAAATTAAAGAATCATGGAAAAGACTACAAAAGAAACAAAAAGGCCATGGTAGCAGCTTGGGGAGAAAGTGAAGATGAAAGCTCAAGTGATGAAATTGAAAATAAAGTAGTCAACTTATGTCTCATGGCTCTTGAAGATGAAGACTCTACTCAAGATGAAGTAACTACTCTTCATGAAGTACTTGAAAGTGCATTTCATGAACTACAAGATGAATTTAGAAAAGTTTGTGCCAAAAATAATGTGTTGAAGAAATATGTTGCATCTTTATCTGTTAATATAGAAGAATTAAAGAAAGAAAAAATTGTTTTGAAAAATGGTTTTGATACTATCTCTAATGAGAAAACTTCTTTAAAAAATAATGTTGATGATTCAACAAAAACGTTTGAAAATTTTGTAAAAAGTAGAGATAATCTCAACATACTTCTTGGAAATCAAAGGTGTGTTTTTGATAAAGTGAGTATTGGATATGACCCTATTAAGAAACAAAAGAATCTCAAAGGCACCTCTCATGACACACCATCATATTACGTGTCATTATTATAGAAAGAAAAGCCATTATATATCTTATTGTCCATTCAAAAACAATATGAACATGGGAATTAAAAAGATGAGATAATCTCAACATGCTTCTTGGAAATCAAAGGTGTGTTTTTGATAAAGCGAGTATTGGATATGACCCTATTAAGAAACAAAAGAATCTCAAAGGCACCTCTCATGACACACCATCATATTACGTGTCATTATTATAGAAAGAAAAGCCATCATATATCTTATTGTCCATTCAAAAAGAATATGAACATGGGAATTAAAAAGATTTGGATTATTAAGGGATCTAACAAAACTAACCAAGAAGGACACAAGAAACTATGGGTACCAAAAACCAATACTTGATTGTCATCTTGTTAGTTTACTTTAAGTCCAAAGCTAAAGAAGGGAAGTGGTACCTTGATAGTAGATGTTCCAGACACATGGCTAGAGATAAATCATTCTTTACTAAACTATCATCGAAAGATGGGGAATTTGTTACTTTTTGAGACAACAGGAAAG